TTGTGATGTTCTTGTGTCTGTTGTGATGTTGCTGTGTCCGCTATAATGTTATTCTGTCTGTTGTGATGTCCTTGTGTCTGTTGTGATGTTCCTGTCCGTTGCGATGTTCTTGTGTCTGTTTGTAATGTTCTTGTGTCTGTTGTGATGTTCCTGTGTCTGTTGTGATGTTCTTTGTTCTGTTGTGATGTTCTGTGTCTGTTGAAATGTTCTTGTGTCTGCTGTGATGTTCCTGTGTCTGTTATGATGTTCTTGTGTCTGCTGTGATGTTCGTGTGTCTGTTGTGATGTTCTTGTGTCTGTTGTGATGTTCCTGTGCCTGTTGTGATGTTCTTGTGTCTGCTGTGATGTTCGTGAGTCTGTTGTGATGTTTGTGTGTCTGTTGTGATGTTCTTGTGTCTGTTGTGATGTTCGTTCCTGTGTCTGTTGTGATGTTCTGTGTCTGTGTGATGTTCCTGTGTCTGTTGTATTGTACTTGTGTCTGTTGTGATGATCCTGTGTCTGTTGTGATGTTCCTGTGTCTGTTGTGATGTTACTGTGTCTGTTGTGATGTTCCTGTTTCTGTTGTGATGTTCTTGTGTCTGTTGTGATGTTCCTGTTTCTGTTGTGATGTTCTTTGTGTCTGTTGTGATGTTCCAGTGTCTGTTGTGATGTTCCTGTGTCTGTTGTGATGTTCTTGTGTCTGTTGTGATGTTCGTGTGATGTTGTGATGTTCGTGTGTCTGTTGTGATGTTCTTGTGTCTGTTGTGATGTTCGTTCCAGTGTCTGTTGTGATGTTCTTGTGTCTGTTGAGATGTTCCTGTGTCTGCTGTAATGTTTTTGTGTCTGTTGTGATGATTCTGTGTTTGTTGTGATGTTCTTGTGTCTGTTGTGATGTTACTGTGTCTGTTGTGATGATCCTGTGTCTGTTGTGATGTTCTTGTGTCCGTTGTGATGTTCCTGTATCTGTTGTGATGTTCTGTGTACGTTGTGATGTTCCTGTGTCTGTTGTGATGATCCTGTGTCTGTTGTGATGTTCTTGTGTCCGTTGTGATGTTCCTGTATCTGTTGTTGATGTTCTTGTGTACGTTGTGATGTTCCTGTGTTGTTGTGATTGTTCTTGTGTCTGTTGTGTGTTACTGTGTCTGTTGTGATGTTCTTGTGTCTGTTTTTGGTGTTCTTGTGTCTGTTGTGATGTTCCTGTGTCTGTTGTGAAGTTCTTGTGTCTATTGTGATGTTCCAGTGTCTGTTGCGATGTTCCTGAGTCTGTTGTGATGTTCTGTGTCTTTTGTGATGTTCTTGTGTCTGTTGTGATGTTCTTGTGTCTGTTGTGATGTTCCAGTGTCTGTTGCGAATGTTCATGTGTCTGTTGTAATGTTCTTGTGTCTGTTGTGATGTTCCTGTGTCTGTTGTGATGTTTCAGTGTCTGTTGTGATGTTTCTGTGTCTGTTGTGATGTTCCTGTGTCTGTTGTGATGTTCTTGTGTCTGTTGTGATGTTTCTGTGTCTGTTGTGATGTTCCTGTGTTGTTGTGATGTTCTTGTGTCTGTTGTGATGTTCCTGTGTCTGTTGTGATGTTCGGTGTCTGTTGTGATGTTTCAGTGTCCGTTGTGATGTTTCTGTGACTGTTGTGATGTTCCTGTGTCTGTTGTGATGTTCTTGTGTCTGTTGTGATGTTCCTGTGTCTGTTGTGATGTTTCTTGTGTCTGTTGTGATGTTCCTGTGTCTGTTGTGATGTTCCTGTGTCTGTTGTGATGTTCCTGTGTCTGTTGTGATGTTCCTGTGTCTGTTGTGATGTTCTGTGTCTGTTGTGATGTTCTTGTGTCTGTTGTGATGTTTCTGTGTCTGTTGTGATGTTCCTGTGTCTGTTGTGATGTTCCAGTGTCTTTTGTGATGTCCCTCTGTCTGTTGCGATGTTCTTGTGTCTGTTGTGATGTTCCAGTGTCTGTTGTGATGTTTCTGTGTCTGTTGTGATGTTCCTGTGTCTGTTGTGATGTTCCTGTGTCTGTTGTGATGTTCTTGTGTCTGTTGTGATGTTCCTGTGTCTGTTGTGATGTTCCTGTGTCTGTTGTGATGTTCCTGTGTCTGTTGTGATGTTTCAGTGTCTGTTGTGATGTTCTTGTGTCTGTTGTGATGTTCCTGTGTTTGTTGTGATGTTCCTGTGTCTGTTGTGATGTTCCTGTGTCTGTTGTGATGTTCTTGTGTCTGTTGTGATGTTCTTGTGTCTCTTGTGATGTTCCTGTGTCTGTTGTGATGTTCTTGTGTCGGTTGTGATATTCCTGTGTCTGTTGTGATGTTCATGTGTCTGTTGCGATGTTCCTGTGTCTGTTGTGATGTTCCAGTGTCTGTTGTGATGTCCTCTGTCTGTTGTGATGTTCTTGTGTCTGTTGCGATGTTCCTGTGTCTGTTGCGATGTTCCAGTGTCTGTTGTGATGTCCCTCTGCCTGTTGCGATGTTCCTGTGTCTGTTGTGATGTTCCAGTGTCTGTTGTGATGTCCCTCTGTCTGTTGTGATGTTCTTGTGTCT